ATCGTTCAAATAATTAAATTATTCGTTGGCAGCTTTCAATTTCAGATATCGAAGCTCCAAGTCGCGCTATTCGACCGCGGAAGGTTAAAAATATTTCTCGCAGTTTATAATCCAAGCTATAAACTCGGGTTCAAAGTGTTTGAACGTTTGAATTTTGGCCGCGCTGAATTCGTATCGGTGCCTGGAGAGAATAATAATATTTCCGTGGTAAGATGGAGGGAAGTTCGCGCGATTTGTCGGAATAAGGAATCGAGCCGGGCCGTTTTTCCGTGCTTCGGCGGGATTGGAGGGCGTGCCACGGAGAAAAGGGGGAAGAAAGAAACGAACGCGCGATCGGTTTGGACCCCACCACTTTTCAATCTGTCAGCTTGTCTTCTCTGACAAATTTCGTTCCAAATTTTCAAACAGGATCGAGGGACGTAGCGAGCCCGACAAATTCTTCGACTCTATTTACTACATTATTCTCGTAACGGTGACATGCAATCAACAAGATCCGTACTTTTATTTCTCGCCTCTCCTTCCGTTCTTTCTTCCTTTTTTTCCTTTTCAAGTCAAGTTGTAGACGAGATATCTGCGACAAAGATATTCTGATTTCTTCTACAACCTACATTTCTAATTAAACAGATGCATTATGAAGGATATTGAAAATCCATATTAATATCTAAATAAATGAAACGAATGCTTATAAATAACATCACTGTAAACATTTCAAATTTTTCATTTCAAACTTCAAATTCCAACTTTTAACTATCAACTTTCAAATTTCAAATTTCAAATTTCAAATTTCAAAAATAATATTAATGTGACTTCGATGACGTGCAATTAATCAGAGAGTTACATTAGCTCGAACTCCAGTCACTTCTTTCGATCTTACGATACTGTGCCCGACAAAGTGTTAATCCGATGCTCGATTTTTAATCACACGGTCCGTTCCAAGTGTCAGCAATGGTAACGAGACGCGAAACAAACGCCCAGAACAGCGAACGGATTCTCTAACGGCTCTAATTGTCGCGCTTAATGAATCAACTCCGCCCCAGCGAGTTTCCGCGCTGCCCGCCTTATCTCCACTTAAGGAAATGAAAAGTCGCGTCGACGACTGTCCCCCGCAAACAGCATTCTTTACCTTTTTATAGTTTTTTTTATATTTTTTCAACATTCAACGCGTACCGCATCCCTATATTTCATTTCCGTTACGAAATTCGTTTAAATTTGACGACAGCCGAGTGAGTTTGACGCTGTTTGACTGGGTTTGAGATTGTTTGATTCAGTCACTGATACAATCTTTATTATTGAAAGATACAATTCTGATTCTGTTGTAAAGATTTGATAGAACCTATGCACGTTTGACTCGGTTTAGTACAGTCTGATATAACACACTCATCGCAATAACATCACAATTCCATAATTTTCAGCAAACTGTTTGAAAGTATTTTAATCGCGTCCGTAGATACTTTAACCGTAGGTATCTCTAAACGAATATAATTCACAGTTACGCTATGCAATTTCTCTTATCAATAAAACAATGTTTATTTCAATTTGCAGTAGTTTGATCAAATCCAACTCAATCCCACAGCGTCGAACCACAATCGACCGCTAAACTCAATCCCATGGAACCCAAATTTAACATTGTTCGACGATGTTTGTCAATGTCGTCGGTTCATAGAATCGCAAGCTTTCCTTACTCCACAATCGATTCTCCATTCTTACATAAATCCACCGACAAATTATTCGAATTGTCACGATCCTCGTTAACCGAGTTTCCAACAATGAAATTCCCAGTCAATTTCGACACGTCGGAGGAATCTGAAATTCTCGAAGCCTCAGGAATCGTTAGAGTTGAGGGTGTCTTCTCGTTTTCGACTTCCTCTTATCGTGGACGATCATTTTCCAGCGGCGATTCCCCCCGAAATTTTTCGGCTCGTAACGATGCAACTTTTTCCCGCGTGATTTCACTTTATCCCGCCGATCCTGGACAATCGTCGCGTCGCTGGGAATTCGAGAGCCCGCCGCAGGATCGCCGCTCGTATTTTCGATGCTCGCCGAGGCGGAAGGCTTTCGCGACTCGTTTCGCACGATGTCCGCGATCATTTCGCCCTCTTTGTCCATTGTTCCCGCGGGTTTCGGCCAGCTGCGAGGAACGAGCCTGCTCGAGGAGCCGTTCGAGACGCTCATGCTGACGGCGATCGCATTCGGCATCGAATCTTCCATTGCTAAGGGGTTTATGAGCTTGTCCCTGGGATTCGGAACGCGATGCTTTCTCTAGAACCAAAATGTTTGGTCGATTGTAGTCTTGGAAAGGTGACTGTAAGTTTTTCAATTTGATTTTCACTCGATTTATTTGGTTATGTGTTTAGGATTGTAAAAGTGTTTTGTTAAATATTTAGGGTTTTAGAAGTATTTCGTTAAGGAATAGTTTATTGTTTTTCCTAGGAAATTTGGTATTCATTTTGAAATTGTATTATTCTAGGTGAATGAATGAAGAAGTTGGATTACATTTAGGAATTGATTTACGTTTGATTGGATTGTATTGTTTAATTAGAGAATAAGTAATTGTTTCATGTTACTTACGCTAGACGCAGTTGGCCTGCTCGGAAAGTAATACGGCGGTGTCGTCACACCGTCTATTACGAATGGGTCGAACATTTCTACACGGAGGATATTGTCTAAGTGATGGGAGCGCATAATTTCTTCGCAGAAAGGCATCAGCGCACGCAAGCTAACGAAAAAGTTCGATAATACTCAAATTTCTACGAATTTCAAATTTCGAAGTTCAAATTTTTCGATTGAAAATAGTATGACTGAAGGCTTACTTATCAGGCTCGGATGGTAAACAATTCTTAAACGCATAGACGACGAAACGTGTGTCAAGCGTGAGTTCAACGTCTCTCCTCTTACGATGAATGTGCCTATCAATGTGTTTCTCTAAGTCTAGTCTGTTTTGGTCATCTGCCGATTCTTCGCTTAAATCGAACCCCCTGCGATTCAAATATAAATTATTCGTTATTAACTTTTAATATTTACATTATAAGGAAAACTTACCATTTCGGATCGCAGATAGGTAGCTTTTTATTCACGAAGAGGCATTTGACTTCTTTTAAACCCGATGCGTCGGATAGACTGTTTCTTTTCGAAGAGCTTTCCTTGTTGTATGGAAGAGCTTGGATAACCGAAAGTATCAGCATAAAAAGCACAAATGTTCCGACAATATTGCTTCTGCTTATTCCCATTCTTTTGTGATTAAATCTCCTTGCTTCCACGAGAACGTCTGCGAAAGAAATTTCAGTGAATTGTATTAAAAGGATATATTTAAAAAATGGAAATTTCAAAATTACCTTCAGATAATTCCGAACATTTGAAACAATAGAAATATTGTGCATTCTAAATAATCATGCTAAAAGTGAGATCGACGATTGAAAAATGTTTCAAGTTATGATTAACAATTAACGAGAGCGCAGAAAATTAAAATCATAAATTTGTCTAGAACGATTAAACGTTCGAATGACTGAAAAATTGAAAGTCGCCCGGAAACTTAAGAAAAACGAACGCCCACGACGCTGATTACGAATTCAAAATCAGTTCATTCAGCAAGTTTCTCCGCCTTGACGCTTAATTTCACGGTTTCTTAATTGTAGTGAAATTACGGTACACTTTAATAACGAGGACAGTAATGGGAGCGTTTCGAGTGATGTTTCCAACGAGTAATAACTCAGTTTTCGTACAAATTCCGCTGTTAAGGAAGTAAATTGAAATCTTCGGAATTCACACGGAACTGTCGAGCCGTAAATACGAATTAAAGTTTCGAACGCGGTTCTTCCGCCGGATTCCTTTATCTTGTTTCTCTTCGAGTGGAACAACCTCGACGATAATAATAATGCCACTGGAATCACCCGTCTCTTTCAGAACAAATGAATCATGTTTACAAAAGCGGCAAGGAACAAGCTTGAAAGTAAAAAGTTTTATCGTCGTCTAGACTGTAAAATATGCAACTGCAGAACTTCTTTTCAGAAATCCAACAAATAACTGCGAGCCTCCATTTAACCCTGCATTTCTGCATTTTCCTTGATTGACTTTTTTTCTATTCCCCATTTAATTTACTAAAATACAATTAAATCAAGTATTTAATTCTTCCCTCATAAATTATACTTTTCGTAATGCTAATCTTTAAAACAACATCACATAAAATGAAATAAGAATGAAATAAAGTTACATAAAATTAAATAAAATTAGATGAAATTAGATAAAATTGAATAAGATTGAATAAAATTGAATAAAATTGAATAAAATGAAATAAGAATGAAATAAAATTGAATAAAAATGTAATTACTTATATTACAAGAAAACAAACTCGGAATTCTAGTAACAACATCATTCATCATCCATTTCTTATTCTAATTGGGTTATGTTTCCCAAGTAAAAATAGCGTCGCGATGCGATAAGGGCGCGGTGACACACTGATTTTAATTTCGCCCTGAAACTGAAAGACTTCTTCGCCGTGGAAGTTTTTTACGGCGACGGCTACAACCTGGCAATCTTTTCGAGATCAAAGAACCTCGAAGACCCGAAAGGACCTCGTTAGGGGAAGATGGCGCGCTCGCGAAAAATCCCTCGTAAATCGTCGAGGGAGCCGCGCCGGCGAGTCAAATGCAAGCCAACGGATTCCGAAGAAATTCTCTGACGACGGCTTCAGCGATTCGACGAGGAATATTTTTGAATACCGGCTTCTTTCAATGGCCCGGGCGTCGCGCGCTGCTTTCTTCGCCGAGAAAATTAAAGATTCCCCGTTCACGGCCGGCTTCCATTAGCTGTGCGTGCGGTACCGTTAAAAAAATACGGAACAGGTGCGTAATTATGTTCGATAAATTCACGCTCGTGTATCTTAATCTTGGAAACACTGTGATACATATGCTGTCCGTTTATTTCAGAAGAGAAACATTGGTTTCGTGTATTTCATGGATGGTCAAACAGGATGTCTCGATCAGAGGAGAATCACTGTCTCATCATTAGGACTGTAAATGGTACTAGAGCTAATAAATTTGCCATTAATATATATTTTATAATAGTAATGAAGTAAGTGAAGCTAAAAATAGGAGGGCGGTGGAAATTTAAGACAATAAATTAACAGAAATCTTGCAACGTAACTCTATTCGACAATTTCATTAAAATAATCGATCTATTTTATATTATAGTATCCCATTATTTCAGCAGAATCAGTAGACGATAGATCTGTTGAGTTCGAAGCACAATAAAATGATATTACAAACTATATAGACTGCGATAATAATAACATGATTTTTCTAACAACCAATATAAATAAAAATATTCTAACTACAAAATAAATTCGCAAATAAAATCTCGCATAAAATAATCTGAGAAATCTCCTGTAAATCATCAATCATCAAACGAACACCGATCGGTCGACTCCGGAACACCGCAAAAATCCTCTGGGTTCACCGACGTGGCTAATTCTACGCGGGAAATCAGTTGGCCATAGATTAAACGGCGCTAGGTCGCGCGCGGTATTATTTAACGTTCTGCCGTTTATAATAAACAGAAATCGTGCGGGCACGAGCGTAAAATGAATTCGGCCCCGCCGCCGATTAGTTTCGCTGTGCTGCTGTTTGAGCGATTTTTAATCGACAGCCGGCCCGGGCACGTCGACGCTCGCCGATGCACTTATATAATAAATAATTAAAACGGTGGGTCGTTCTGCGCCGATGGTTTATTAATTCCGGCAATTAAACGACGGCCGACCGGTGTTTAAATAAACGCGGGGCCGGCCGGTGGGAGGCAGCTAGACGATACCGCGATGTAACGACACCGCTAATAGCGAGTTAACAATGATAATTTGCCCGTTATCGCGACCGAAGTGGTACAGCGCAGATAGATCGTAGGAAAATGGGTGGAAAACAAACCGGCCGGCCCGACACGCGACGCTGACCCCTTTTAAATGTTAAATGGGGTAAATACGATTGATTTCGACGCCCGCGGCAGAGAACAAACGTATCAATATGGACGCCCGATTCTTTCCGCGGCTCTGTTGCCGATTAAACGCCGGATATTTGCGCGTTATTGAACGTTGAACAGTGGATCGCCGCGAAACTGATAGGTTATTGTGTACATGCTTGTTGATGTATAAGTATTGTTTGTTATATGATGATTCATTGTATAAATTGTTGTTTCTATGTAACTATTGTTTATTATACGACGATTTATAGTATAAATAGTTGTTTATATGTAAATATTGTTTATTATGTGACAATTTATCGTATGAAAAGTTGTTCGTATATAAATATTATTTATTATACAATAATTTATTTATATACATAAGTGTTTGAAAATTTATTCCGCTTATTATAGCTGCGATTTTTTAATGTATGGAAATGATTTTGAGTTTTGAAGTTGTTCACTTTATCATATCCTGCATGTTCGTCGATATTGCAATTGTGCTATATGAAAGTCGTAAATGAGGAGTTTCTTCTTTTTCTCATTAGATTCGACTTTTCTCGTGTATTTGTGTATTTTGAAAATATACACAATGCAAAGTAGTGTCTTTACGAAGGGATACGCGCGCGTTTCGAATCTAATTAGCAGTTTACTTCGGCAATATGCTAATTAGAAGGATCGTAACGGTCACGTGGCCAAAAATTCAGAGCCGCCATTTTGTCTGCTGCCAATTGCAGCCATCTATAATCGGAAACGGCAGTATAATCAGCCATAAAACCGCGACACCGTAGCAAATGGAACAATCTACATTCAGTTACGATCTATAATTTGCGGCTAACGTATCGTAATCGAATTCGAATTAATCTATTTCGCAAAATTTAGGTACCCCGCCGCCCCTTCTGTGTAATATTTCGGGAATCTTGTTAACTAAAATTACCTTTGAAATCAAAAACCTTTGATAATCAGGGGACAAAGTAATCAAGAAATATATACATTTCTAGATATTTTATGCAATAGTTATTTACATAATTATTAACAATATCATAATTATATCACATAAAACTACCGTTTCAGTGCTTCCCAAATTTTCCCAAGGAAATGATTAAAGTGCCACTAGCTTATTACTAAATAATTTTATTAGTTATATAATTATTTGTAATACCATGTCACATAAAAGTAACATTTCAGTATTTTTAAAATATTCGTAAATAGAATTAAAGTCAACCAGCTTTACAACGATAAACTAAGGACACTTCGGACGGCAAAGGGATGAAAGGGGTTAAACCAGCACAGAAATAATCTGCACGTGAAAAGGGATGGGCCAACACGTGACCCGGTGAACAGTGTCGTTATCGCGCTGACCGGTTGTTGCAGATGACATAATGATTCTGTTTACACGCCGACCGAGCGGAACAATCCTCGTTTCCGATTGCGACAGCCGATTGTCTGGCTGCGGCTGGTGTCAAGGAATCCTCGGGGGGAACGTTCGCGCGGTTTCCTCTTTGATCATCGGGATTCGGAGATTGCATTCCGAGATAATATGCATCAATTTATATTTTAATCTAATTTAAAATTCAAATCTATAAGATTGAACAGATGGTTTTTAGAAGTACATGGATAAAGCATTCGAGTTGTCAATTTTGCTCGTCATTAGATTAATGGAATCAAATTGCCATTGAAATTTCAATGAATTATTTTATTGAATAATGAAGGAATTGTTTACAAGATATAGTAAATGAAAGTGCTAATACCATTAAAATATTACTATGAATCATGTAAGCTGAAAATAGTAGTGAAAAGAAATGCATTGCTTTCTCTCTTAAAAAAGATTGCTTTAAAAATTACAATGACTTCACGTAAGATTTCGAAATATCGGTATCTCCTCGACGATTTAAAATTCGTAAAATCAAGTTTATGGTTCTTCGATGTTTTGAAGCACTTCCGCAAGGATGATGGATAGTGCAACGAAGTTTTCCCTAGAGCTTAATCTTAACAACTGGTAGAAACATATGGCGTCAGTTGTCAAGGGAATTTAAGCCAGCAAATTGTTTACAAACTCTACGCAGTGCTGGGATTTACAATAACGATGTAACAATACTATAGAGAATACACCGTGGAATGTTGCAATTCGACAGAAACCACACGCAATTTTATTAGAAACTTTACAATTTACATAAATTATCCGACATAGCGAATTAAAATGTAGGTTACTTCCCAACAGGGAAATTCAACATAGAAACCTTAATAAAGCTCAATAAATCAATCTACAAATGTTAAAGTTACATAAACGTCGAAAGGCCTCTTTTAATTATAAATAAAGAA